CCATAGGCGTCATTAATGCGCTTCGGGTTAAGTGGTCTGAGCGAGGTTTTTTCTCAGATACGCCGCGCTACCGAAATGCCTTCACCCGAGATTGCGTGGGAAGACGCTGAACAGCGACTAGGCATGGCAATGTCTACCTTAGCGTGAGAGAAAAACAGGGAATTGTTGTTTAGCACCTTCCTTAAAATTAACAAATCTAGGGAACAATTTCTTTTACAGTTAACTCCCTTTTTTACCCTATTTACGGCTAACGGTTAAAATTTTTCAATTTTTGAGGCTAAATGTTTGGCCGTTTTACGCCTATCGGTTAACCCCATTAAGACCCTCTTTCTTTATCGCGACCGTCGGGTTTCCAAAGTAGATTTACATAATTTATTACTGGATTTTACGGCAACCCGATGTCGCTTTTCTCAGTGTCGTCTATTGTGCAAATTCAAAATACTCCAGTTAATTATGACTTTTAGGGCCTGTTTACATGGAGGTGGGGGACCCCAGGTAGGTAAGGTAAAATATGGCGGGTCACCGTACCTATCATGTAAATATGATCAAATCAAAATGAGAGATTATATGGACAAACGAGTGACCTAGATCTAGACTCCATTACCCCACCTAAGCGGGTTACCGCACCTTCCTGGGGTCCCCCACCTCCATGTAAACAGGCGGCATTGATTATAGATGTATCACTTGTTCCTTTATTCTGCCTCCTCGCCTTCTCATTGGATAAGTGCTGTAAGAAAAGGGAATTAATTAAAAGTGGTCACACGTTTGGTTTTAATGCTGTTAGCACTCTGTTCAATTCTCTGCGCTTTTGATTTGTTTCAGAGCAAGGTGATCCATGCCAGCCTTTGCAGAATATCAGTAAAAGGGTAAATTTTGTCAGTGGTACGTGTAGGATGTCGTCTTCCAGCCTTAAATACGGTTTGTTTGTAGCGTTCTTACTAGTTACGTATTTAGTCATGTTTCACTGCCAACTTCCGTATCCTTCAAAACTCAACGCTTGTCATTAAAAGCTGTTATATGATGACTTCTATGATGGCAGTCAGTCGTGGGTTATTCTAGTGACAAGAACTAGGGTTTATTCCTCTACTTTACAGGACTGTTTTAATTTACTAGCTGTTCCACAAAAAAGGAGAAATGGATAGTGATGAATTTGGTGAGTAAAGTCAAATTCGAGTGGCTAGGCCTCTAAATATTACTAAATATATTTATTAATTGCAAAGTTTGTAATAAATCAGGTTTCCTTGCAAGTTGGTAAAGAAGACATCAGCTTAATTCATAACCCCGTCAAGTTATGGAGTATCAAAAAATCTGCGTATTACAACCCGGTTCGTTTGTCGCGCTCACCCAACTCTATTTTAAGTTCACGTTTGGTTTTGTAATATTTCGTTTCTACGCCCCGATAATTTCTACGTCCACTTCAATCATGTGTAGCTTTTCAGCATTAATAATATTGACCATACAGACCTAGACAGCTTCTGAGTTGAGCAGGTATAGTTACACTGAAAGATAACTGACCAACACAAGGAAACATAATAAAATTGAATTTAAACACGCGTTGACATTATATATCAATTTGAAAAGGGTAAAAAAGGCCAATAATGTGACCAAAACTTCTTTACAATATACACAAAATGATGCCAATATAATTAAACTATAAAAGATGAGGAAGTAAGACTTTCAGTATTGTTTTGGCGGTGGCAGGGAGGCACGTAGAGTCTGCAGGTGCAAACATTCAATCCATAGTTCGTATTAACTTTAGTTTAATACCTTGAAAGTCGTTATAGCTCTAAGAATACTTAAATTCATGAGTCTTATTATACACTAAAACCATTTCGTCACCACGCACTTTTGCTTGAACAAATTCTCAGTCGAGCGTGAATACATTCATTTTGAACATTTATAGTTGACTACGCACCATGCAGGACTGTTTCTAGGCAGTTAATAATAATTTGATGAGGCGCATTAAGTGTTACATACGCGATCTACTGAATGAATGCGTTTGTCACTGATTTTGATTTTGGTTTGAAAAGAAAATGTGAAAAGCGTAGAAGTTTATACTTAGTTACTTTCTTCCTTTAACTGAGGTAGAGGGAGGGGCATGGTACAGTCGCATTGACAAAGCGGCCAGATTGAGCACTGAAATTGGCAGTTCAGCGTTTAATGTCTCTGCCACGCTTGTACTTAACTGGATTGCTCCTGTTGTGATGGCATTCTTAAGTTATTGTTGAATTTAGTACTTGTTTCTGCTGTTTGCTTCAGGCCACAGTGGTTTTCGTGTGCCCTCAAATAGTATACAGTAGGGGTAAATTAAATTTAATTATTTTAACGCACTCCTTAATGACAAGGGCTTATTACAAGAGATGGAGTCTATTTTACTCTTTAATTAGAGCACTAAATAACTTTCAAACGTTTAACAAAAATAAGCCATTTATGCAAAAACAATTAGTGGTATTAGCATGTCGGGGGGGGTGGGAGGGGATTTCGGTCGCAAAATTAATATGTGTTTTGAGGACATTCTTTTTAAACGATTAGTTTAAGTGCGTTGTTCCCAAAATACGGGCCCCATTTAAGTATTTACAATAACTCCAGTCAATTTAAGGATTTTGGGAAATGCAGAAGACTTCAGTATATTATGTGCAATGTTTTTCACCTTACAGAAGGCAAAAGCTTTTACGAAGAAAAAGACGAAAAGGAGAGTGGGGTCCACGAAGAAGAGGATTTTGATAACAGACTCTTTGTGGAGGTAGAGGATAACGTATGCGCAAAAGTAAGATCGAGACGCAACAACGGCGAAGAGGACAACTTTACAATGGATACAGCTTCTTCCAGTAAAACCAAAGAAGAGGAGAATCTTGAAAACATGGAGAGAAAGCTAAAAAAGCTAGAAGAACTTTTCTCCAGTGTACCAACAGTTCTTATCAAAAGAGTCCTTTGTCGCGATGATGTTAAAGGAGACTTCAACAAAGCAAGACAGACGTTACAAGAATTTCAGGGAATGGGAAATTCACAGGACTTTATCAAACTTCCCGCAAACAATCGACCTATTGCTCGGCGTGCTCCAGACAATTTTGCCAGGTCAGAAAACAAGAAAGGGAAGATCGAAATAACCGAGTCGCAGAATTACCAGGAAAGTAAAAGGAAAATCGGAGTAACAAGAAAATTGAAAATTGAAAATCAAAATGAAACACAGGACAGAAATGGAGGAGAGGAGAATAATGTTTATCTCTTGAGAAAAAATAGTTTTGATATAAACGAGCCCAAACTGTGTGGAAACCAGGTCTTCCCAGATCGTGATGCAATACAAGTAGGACTAGCCTGTAAATGTGAAGGACGGACACTGGGCGGCGGGTTTGACCAGGGTCAAGGAGATAACCAAAAATACAGCGAGAATGTGGCGCACGAGCTCGGTTACGGCGTTCCTTTAAATTACCACATGTTTCAGAGTCAGCGGGGACGTGGTAACTGGAGTGGACAATGTAGTCCAGCCAAACCGAAGGGAAATGCTCAAAGAGGAGTAGAACATGAAGACAACTTTTATCAAAGGAATTCATTTTTTCAAGACGATGGCCAATCGCCCTTCACTCAAACAGGACAAGGAAGAGATCAATCAAGACGAGGACGAGGAAGAGGTGGCCCAGGTCATGACGGGACACATGAACATCCAGTGTATCCCGCAGATAAGATAAATGAAATATGTAGGTCCTTTGACGATCTTGATTTAGGTGATAAGGAAGAAGTTGGTCCAAACAGATGTGGCCAAGGGAATCTATATCCAGGAGGGTCTGGCAGTAACCTTAAAAGGGGACACGACAAGGGAGGAATGGGATCAGCCCAAAGCCCGTCAAAGGGAATGGATAAAGGTACTTATACGATAGTAAATAAAGGAGAAGACTGTAAGTTTGAGCCAAAGAGATTAGTTGTGGGCTGTGTGAGTTGACCGTACTGAAAGAGTGGAGGTGGGAAGAGTGAAGATGCGTAAAGGCAAAACTTTAGTCACAATTGAGTGGTTTGTAATTACTTGCCGAAATAGCTTCGTGTTTCGCCTTACATTGGTCCCCTATAATAGGTGTTCTCCGAAAACCGTGGGGGATAGTTTTGGGAGAGCTAAATTTCTTACTACGTTAAAAATCATCTTTTGCGGCTACTCAATCATTCAATGTGCTTTTGACGGTAACCGAGGGTCATTTTTACCAGACTAAATTAATGATAGATGAGATCATTTTCATGGTCACGACTATTATCATTACGGTTGAACAATATATTGAACTGTGGCCGTTTTACAAGTCCATACTCCTTTTCATTTGTTTTCTTTGGTTACTCTACATAAAAGTAACCATAGTCTGTAATTTCATTGAAAACTGACTACTGCCAGTCCTCCCCTAACTAAAATTTTCGTTAGGAGAATTACGTTAAATGATCTCGTCTCATTCTGACCGTTTTTACAAGAAGACTATAATTTGTAGCCAATGTCTGGACCTACAAAAGGAAAAAGATTTGACCTCTACATAGTGGGCATTTTGACCCAAAGGATTTCTCGATAAAACAGAGTGTGGCTGGTCACGTGATGCAGTTATAAACAATTTGAAAGATTTCTAGGTTACAATTAGCCTTAGTGTTTCAGTGTTTAACCGATCTGAATTCAAACGTTCCATACATATACCTTTTAGCCCTTGTCATTAAAAGAGAGCACTTGAATTCTAAATTTCTTTAGACCACCAAAGCAAAAATTCTTACATTTTCTCGTCGCTCTGTAGAAGAAAGAGGGTTAGTTGAATTAAGTCTGTCTTTACTTTTTAATAATAGATGTTCAAAGAGTCTTAGCCGGACAGCATGATAAACTACATGTCCTAAACAAGGCTCAACTGACAGTCAGAATCTTTAATGATTCATCTGAAGATGATGACCATGCATTTGCCGTGAGTGACTTGGGAACGTCTGTAGACAACAGGCATAGCACATCATTTAGTCAGCGGTCCAGGCCCAAAGAAAGGCGGCTCTACATGGTTGTGGACCCAGATGTAATGGAATACGTCACAACAACGTCACTTCATGACCAACTTAAGGTAGTTTTGGCTACGAAGAAAATTGAAATTGACTGGAAGATGAAACGCAGTACAGCCGTTCTATTGTATCACGGAGAGGATAATAGTACCTCACGGGGGTCTGAATGTACAGAGGAAGTACAAACATGGCTTGACAAGCTTAAAAAGCAAGACGTTGAAGTCAACAAAGCTTTCTGGGAAGACGTCAAAGCTCAGTTACCAAGTATCCGCGCTTGTTTTGGAGTTCAATCTCCACTGGTTAAAATAATCGATGATTCTTTCGTTGTCAGAATTGTGTCCCTAGCTTCAGATGCAGAAGATTTAAAAGAGAAATTAAAAGCAAAATTAGAGGAAATATACCAGAAGGAAACCAGAAAAACGTATGTGACGAAAACGGAAAAGGTTTCTTTGGAACATTTAACTTTGTTAAAGAAGATCCGGTTCGTGGAAAAGCTTAAAGAAAAAAACAAAGAACTGGCGATAAAATTAGACACTGAAGCAGAGGAAATCTATTTTGAAGGCCCACAACCATTGCTCTTAGAAGTGACCACGAAATTCCACGAACAAATTTCGGGCATGGTTGAAAAGAAATTAAGCCTGTCAAAAAACATTTTGAAAATTTTGTCTTTAGATGAAGGGCTGGAAAAAGTCAAATGTGAATTAGAAAAATACAACGTGGAGGCTGTTTTCGTGATCGATAGCGAGGCTCGGATCATAGGCACGTCAGCAGCGCATGCGGTCAAGGCTGCCAGTCTTGTAAGTAAGTTGACTTTGGAGGAGAAAGTTCTGAAGGACGGCAACGGTCGCCAGCTATTGAAAACCACAGAATGGTACCAACTTTGTGAGCAACTCAACGCCAGCTCAGCCGTCCTAGTTCATGGGAACAACTGGAATGATACCTACGTATCTGGGTTTCGGGAAGATGTCCGAGAAGCAATTAAGACGCTAACTACGTGCCTAGATACCAACTGCATACGAGAAGAGCAAATGAAATGTTCTTCTAAATTAGTCCGAAAATATCTCTCTGAGCTTCGTCAAGATGACCTGTCTTCAATTGAAGTTCAACTCCGCCATGAAGTCAAGATTCAAACAGGAAAAGGTGATGATGATTTTGTCATTTGGGGGAACAAAGAGGGGATAAAACGTGCGAAAAGTATGTTAGAAGCTCTTGCAGATAGTACCGAATGTGAAATTTTAAATGTGAAACAGCCAGGCCTGAGAAATTTTTTTGCCAGCGGAAACGGTGACCTGCTTGTGAGTTCTGTGGAGAAGAATCACGCATGTGTTATCCATATCCAGAAAAAAGATGAGATGCCCACTGTCACAGAAGCAATTGCGAAGCCAGGCAATGAAGACAGCGACGACGACGACGACGACGACTATGATGGTGCTGCTGCTGATGATGATGATATTGGGGAGGTTGGCGATAAGGATGAAGAGAATATGAATAATATAGTGACCAGCACTGATTCTTCCACCCTTGTTACAGGAAGTGGTCACAAAATTTCATGGAAACCTGGAAACATCAAAACGCAGCAGGTATGTTACGTTCAATGCATTCCGGCTATATAGTATAAAAAACTCACTGATTTCTTTGAGAAAAAGATATAGTGGTCTGCGCTTGGCTACTGAAAAAATAAAATTTATCCTTCTCGTTGTGTCGTTGAGTGCCCTGTTTTGCTTTAAAACGTCGTTCCCTTTACAGTCAAGCTAAGTCATGCGTATCCCCAAAGATTACATTAATGAATTTATTATTCGAAAGTTGAATCAGTTTTCAGATTCATCTCAGTCAGTCTGCATTCTTGCATACGTAATGATGAGCCGTGAATTCACACGCAAGGCAGTTACGAAATTTCTACCAGCTCATTTTCCCTGAATTTGATGTAAATGTCTTCTATGAAATTTAACCCATTAAAATATTTTCAATCTGACCAAATACAGAGAAGTCCTCGTAAAATATTCACTGCTCGTTACATCTTTTTGCTTCAAAGCGATTACATTCAGGATCCCTTCTTGTTTCTGTTTGAGTGTAATATTTGCTTTTCCAACTTTTTCTAATCCATATTTCATGCCTTATCTGGACCACTTCTCTCCGCCATCTTCTGCCTAGTGTAACCGGAAATGCACGATTTGCGGACTCAAAATCCCATCTGACCAGTGGTCCCGATCCCGCCGATCCCCGTCGCCGACCAAAAGGATCGCAGCCTCTGGGAACGAGATTGATTTATGTCAAATTTCAGAAAATGATATCTTCCACCTGAAATTTTCAGAATTTCACCTGTGTTTTCACAATTTTTGTGACATTTGATATTTATTTTCTCGGGCTCCCATGAGAAATAGACTTTGGTGTTATTACAGATAATCAATTATATTTATAGCCCTTGAAAGATGCAAATAGAATGCGATATTGTTTTAATTATTCTGGTACAACGTTTTTGTCCACTAAAAATTGAAATTACTCAATTTCCTGAAGGATTCCGTCTTAATCACTCATAACGAGAGCCGGACCGTACAAGAGAAATGGTTTACCCGTTTCTTATCTGGGTCCTGCCATTTTGCACGTTTTGCACCTTATTTAGGAAAACACTGTTTTATGACACAACCAAATGCCTCTTTTATGGTTAAAAACTAACGTCGAACTGTGGCAAGGTCCAACCCACATGAAACAGAATCAAGCGTCCAAAGAAGACCGCGTAGTTAAGTCACAATTGTTGAATAGAACTGAAGCCAATTTTAATTCAATTGCAGGCTAACATTCTGGTCAGTTCACAAGGTGCATGCTCCCAGGCTATCGTCAGTGCGGGTGGGCAGGCAATGAGGCAAAACTTGGTAATTCCAAACACTGGTGACATCACAGTTACTCGTGGATCAGGGAAGCTGGCCTGTGATCACGTGATCCATGTAAACTGTTCCAAGTGGCATGGTGGAACGGGGGAGCTGGTAAGTGATATAATTGACACTGAAAATGAAGAAATGATCGTCGCAGTGAACGCAATTTATGCAATTGCGTAAAGAAGCCTGAAAAAAAAATACCACACTCATTTCTTTCACGGGAACATATGAACCCACAATTGACCTGCTCCCAACGTCAGTGGCTTCATAGCTCAGTTGGTAGAGCATCGCACCGGTATCGCGAGGTCACGGGTTCAAACCCCGTTGAAGTCCTGAATTTTTTTTTTCAGGCTTCTTTACGCAATTGCATAAATTGCGTTCACTGCGACGATCATTTCTTCATTTTCATTTCATTTCCGCAGTTCATATATGATTTATTTCATATATCATTAACACTCATTTCTTTCCAGGGAACATATGAACCCACAATTGACCTGCTCCCAACGTCAGTGGCTTCATAGCTCAGTTGGTAGAGCATCGCACCGGTATCGCGAGGTCACGGGTTCAAACCCCGTTGAAGTCCTGAATTTTTTTTTTCAGGCTTCTTTACGCAATTGCATAAATTGCGTTCACTGCGACGATCATTTCTTCATTTTCAATTCATTTCCGCAGTTCATATATGATTTATTTCATATATCATTAACACATAATTGACACTCTAGCTTATTACACTTAGTTCATGACTTTAGCCCCATAGTTTTCCATAGCTCAGCGGTAGAGCATCATAATAACCAAAAGGTCAAGAAAAATCTAATTGGGATAACTTACTTTTTTGAGTCGCCTGTGTCACTAAATAAAAAAGAAATAATCTTCATAAATCATTCTAGTTTGCATTGCTTGTCATCAATTACAAAGCTACAATGACAGCCCAAATAAACCACCCTGCTTGCAATGTAGTTTGTTTGGAAGAACTATCAGAACTAGATTCCCTCTTTAGGTAGTCAAGGTAACATTTATTCATCTGCCTTTAGAAGGAAGTGTTTCAGCCAGTCGTTACAAAAACTAGTTATATTTTTATCTTTAACCGCCACTGAATTCACTTTTAAAGTTGTATTTTAGGTCTTACGAGGCATCGTCCAAAAATGTCTACAGAAGGCTGATGAGCTTGGAGGAGTATCAATAGCATTTCCAGTCATAGGCACTGGAAACCTCAGGTTTTCCCTGCCACAGCTTCCAGGATCATGTTAGAGGAAACCATCAATTTTTGCCAAACAAATACTTCATCTGCAGTGAAAGATATTCGATTTGTGGTGTTTCACCAAGATAAGGCACTTAACACTGCCTTTGCGCAAGAGATGGCTGCCTTGCAATCCAAGCACAGACCTTCTTGGCCTCAGGTATTTCAACAAGAGAAACAGAGACAACTTGTCTGTTCATTGCCTATTCAAGTTATAAAAGGCGATTTGACAAAAGAGAACACAGACGCCATTATAAACATCAACAGCAGGGATATGAACTTGAGCCACGCTGGTGATCTAAGCAAAGCCATCTTAAAAGCTGGCGGCCCACAGATCCAACAAGAATGCAGTCAATATGGTGAGCAACCACCTGGGACAGCGGTAATGACTAGTGGAGGAAACTTGGCAGCACGTCATATAATTCACATAATTCCAGGTATGTTAAATGTTCTTTAGTAGGTCGTCTTATTAAGAAAAACAATGGTTCCAAGTGACGTTGCTGACCTGACGCACAGCATATTATCGACTATGGAAACATGCCACAATCGTTTTACCAAAGAACCATATAAATACGGCCTTCCCCCAATTATGACCTAATGAAAAAATAGATGTTGATCTAAAATTAAAACCCTTTTTACGTCCTTCGTCAGCTGAAATACTACGTTTTTAGTTTTAAGTGAAATTGTTGCATTTTCTTTGTGGATAATTTCAGTGCTCCAATTGAAACACCTTAGTTTTTCACATTCTTTTTACAGCTTTTCAGAGCTAAAGTGTTTTTTATAACATAGCGCGCGTGCTTGCCCTATATAAGTCCTATTGAGCCGCTATGAACAAAATCTTTATCGCACGCCAGTGCGTAAATAAGATGACGTGTTCAGCTGTGTTTTTCGTCCCTTTTCCTAAGTACCCAAAAATCGATGGCAATGATAAAAAACTTTCTAGACTTTTTTTGGAATTTAGCTTCGTTCTACTGAGCTACTCAAAGCAACATCAAAAGCGGTGAAGATATTTCGCAAATAATAGAGCCACAATGATTCGTTGAAACGTCTGCCGTAAAGACTGACATTTACTTGGAAAAAGACAAATTGGTCTGTGTCGGAAAATATCCAATTTGTACAAGTGTCCTCCATCTTTAACGTTTGTTTTATATCCTACAAACAAGTTAATTATAAAGTAAGCTCAACAGCAAAAAATTATACACTTTTGTTATCGCCGAACAATCCCACTAAAGCAGAAAAAATATTTCTCTTGCAATAACAAGAAAAATTACACAAGTAGACTTAAATTTATTACTCACAAAAACAACTGCTGCCAGGTCTTCTCAAGAAGCCGTAATGACCAGCCATTGTTCGTAAATGAATATAAGGTTAACGTAGGATGACAGTCGTCTTCGCTGAAAAACAAGTTTTCTGGATTTCGCCGAGCAAAACATAAACATCTTTTAAGCAAATCCAAACCATACTCCACGACTTCTTACGAACATGTGAGCATTTTCACTTTAGGTGGACTTTAAGACTCTTTTACCTTTGTTTCTTTTTAGTTTTCATTGATCGTTAACGAATAAATAAGCAAATTTTCTTACTCAGTTTTACAGAAAGAATTTTCATTCAAACTAGACCATTGTGGCGTGTTTTGTAATCAGCCAATAGAAGCGTTTGTTACTGTGTCGCGCGTTACGAGAATTTTGAAGTTAATCGAAAAGCAAGCATTTTTGGCAGCTATGTTATAAAAAATTTGCTCATGCTTTTAGCTGTGCGTATATCGAGTTATGGAAGCACTTGGGAAGTTTGTTGGAGAGCACTCAAGAAGCTAGAGTTGCACTCGGCTATCGCCTCGTGCAACTCTTACGCATCTTTCGTGCTCTGACTTCCCGCGTGCATCCATTGCCTAATTTCATGCCGCGCGGAAGCCTGGCGCTACCGGATTTTCCCGGACTTTTTAAATTCGGGATTGAAAATGGCTTCCAAAATAGAAGGTAAAGCAAAGGTCATTGCGTGCAGTTGAAACGATATTAAGGGCCAGATTACTCCAGAAAGTTAATATTCTAAAGCTAAGAACAGTTGTTTTACTGCTGTAAAGAGCCTCGATTAAAAATTTCGAGATAAGAAAGATCTAATGAGAGCCTTTCGGTACTCGTAAATATTGGAAGGATTCCCGAATTATTCGACAAAAAATTTGAACAAAGAACCGTCGAGTTTGGCTCTTTTTACAGCGCTGGATCCGACCGAATATTGGGGAATGATAAGGGAGTGGGTGTACCTGTTTTTACAAACCGTAAAATAAAAACTACCAAAAAGCGAAACACGCCAGAGTGACCCTGAGTGAAAGGGCAACATTGTATATTAGGTCGGCAAGGCTTACATTAGATTTTCTCCCCGTCGCTGTGTACGGCCTCAGTAGAAATCCTAAAGATCAGACCGGAAACAATTGTCACTGAAAATGGATAAAAGCAAGTATCCTTCAGTCTTACTTGAGAGGCATTTCTCGTCCGGTAACACTGCAGTTCCTGTAATTTGGGCAATCAGCTTGTAATCACAATCAAGAATGTCACGTACATCTACCTTTTGGCTAGCATACACTGTGTATAGACTAGTCCCTTATCTCCCTTCATGTGAACAACACTAGGTTTAACATACAAAACGCCACAATGTTCACTACACTCAGTACCTTTCACGGACATCACTCTTTTCCGCGACGGGAATAATCCAGGTAAGCCCTTCTGTACCGCCCTTTTAAGTTTTGCTCCAGCATACTTAGGCTACGATCGGTACGTGCACAATCACATCTGTGTTCTTTCCTGCAATGATCCTCTACTTTTCATATGCAGGTAGAATTAAACAGAGGATCCTTTGCTGTAGAAAATTTATAATCATCAGGGGCGGATCTAGGGGGAGGGTGCAGGGGTGCACCCCCCCCGAGATGACCTGCGGTTTTCTGATACAACTGGTATACTGCAAAAAAAAAACTATGTGGTTTATTGGTGTTGAAGTAGAGCAAGAGACGAGTGCACCCCCTCCTAAAAAAAATCCTGGATCCGCCCCTGATCATGTTTGGTTCGAGCGACCTGCTCATGGAACAATTGCTTGCACTTGCTGAGTGTCGGCTCCTTAAGTTTAGCTTCAGGGCATGAAAGAAGTACTGCATCCTTTCCTTACTAAGTTTAGACAGATTCTCCGAGGGAATATTGATAAATATTTCTTCGAAAAGGAGTGCTTTCGTTCGAGTTTTTACTCCGACTATCCGCCATTTTGAAACTGGACTTTTTAAAAAGTCCGGGAAAATCCGGTAGTGCCAGGCCTCCGCGCGGTATGAAATTAGGCAATAACTCGATATACGCATGCTAAGCATGAACAAATTCTTAAATGAATGATCTTTGCCAACTCTTTAGCTATTTTATTGTAAGTACAATCTGTTAATTTTTTATATCGATTTTGAAATTCTTACTTTCAGGGTCCCAAGATAAGATTCACCTCCAGGCGTGTCTGGAAGAAGGCCTTCGCCTGGCGGATCAAAATAATCTTCAAACAGTCTCAATACCAAGCGTTGGCACTGGTGGATTTAATCTGTCTGCGTCAGACTCTGCACAAGTAACATTCAAAGCTCTGGATTCGTTCAGCAAAAGTTGTAAAAACGTTCGCCACCTGCGCATTGTGGTCTTTCAAGCTCAAATGGTTTCGGATTTTTTGCAAGAGCGACAGCGGGCGGTAGTCCATAATACGAACGAGCAGCAAACTGATTCCTTTTGTAAAGCTGTTAAGCTGACGAGAAATAGTGAAACAAATTTGAGTTCAACAGGCGATTATTCTGTGAAACTTTTTGTGACAGGAAAGGATAAGGGAAGTGTAAGCAAAGCTGTGGAAAGTTTGAAGAAAGGTTTGAAATTGTTCAGTCCGAAGACAAATGGAAAGCTTGAGATGGCGTACAGCAAGAAACAATCCACAATAAGGATATCTTTACAAGCAGATGACTTTGTTATGAATTTACAAGCTAAAACTGGCCACGGCATGCGGAATGGTGAGACTATTAAACTTTCTAGAAAGGCCAGGGGAGCTGAAGAAGGTTAGTGCATACTGATAGAACAGTTCTGAGTTAACCAGTTTTCATTATTTCATTAAGTTTTCATTAGTTTTAGTTTCATTTCATTTTCAACAGTGGCTTTCCTTCTAGTTTTTCATTTACGTCGTTGGTTTGCTTCTACACCGTGATTTTTAGGGAGTTATTATAACTCCAAACATGGAGTAAAAATTTTAGGTAAAGGATTTTAACCCCTTTTCGGGGGGTTACTTTAACTCCTAATTTAACTCTGAATTTGGGGTCATTTTACTCCTGAAAAGAGTTCTTTTTACTCCCAGTCTAGAGTTAAATAGCTCCGAAATGGGGTTATTTTTACTCCTTACATTGGTTGTTTTTGCTCTTTTTGGAGTTAATTTAACTCTGAAAGTGGAGTAAAACTTTTAGGTACAGGATAAATCCTTTTTGGGGGTTATTTTAACTCCTCAATATCTGGGGTAACTTTTACTCCTGAAAAAGAGTTCTTTAAACTCCTTTTTGGAGTTAAAATAACTCCCCCCAAAAAAACTCCACTGTAAGGAGTTACATTAGCCACACTAGAGAAGTGATTATAACTCCTTGAAAATTACGGTGTAAGACTTCCCTAGACGTACAGCTCTTATTTCAGTCAATTGCATTTTTTTTCGGATAAGAAGCATCAAAAAATACAGTAGAAGAATAAGTTTTGTCTCGTTTAGTTTCGTTCTTAATTTGAAAGTTTTGCTTTGTGGGTTAGATATTTTACTGTTGAAGCGAAGCGACGGTCATGTTCGTCATTATTGTATGTCGCTTACTGATGAGAAGATATTTAAGACTACGGAGAAACATTGACCACTGGTAAGAAATAAAGTCAAGACTGATCTTTTCATCGCCTGCAAGTCTTTTGTTACTCCGTAGTCTTAAAAATCCCCTCATCAACCAGTGACAAGTTTTGATCCTTAATAATGACGGAACATGACCGTCGCTTTGCTTCAACAGAGAACACCCAAATTTGGGGGTGCTTGTGACGTCACGATTTTATTTGGCACAAAATGGCGGAACAAAACGGCAGTTGGCATTTTATATGGTTTTTCGTGATTAGTCGTAATCTTTCCGACTTGGAGCGCAATATTCGCTGTGGCCATAGCTACCGTGAAACTCTCAGAGCGCTTGCCAAGCAGCTTGGTGCCTAGACAGACTTTGGATTGAACGATGAAGTGGCATATCCGAGAAACCTCTCCAGTGCAGCCGTCAGTTTTTAACTCTTCTGAAGTTACCTCTTGTGGTACCTACCACGAATGTGAGTGCGCACTCAGCCCCAAATCGCAAGAAAGATTGAATCACTGCATGATTATCCACGTTCACAAGGAAATAACTAACAAACTGAACAGAGCAGATATTGGAAATCAGTTTGTTTCAGCATGAAATGACAGGCAAAAATCGCTTGGGAAAATTCGATGTCAATAAAAAAGAAATAATGGACACAGAAAATGCGCCAAAGACCTTTGCGATCGGCCTTTGGAGCTACTGTGCTTTCATGTTAATCATCTCAAAATGTCACGTCTCTCAGAGCTGCAGACTTATCATCCCTCACCGGAATTCGATTTTTTTTTCGAGACAAAGAAACTTTATCATCCCAGGGCCTCCTGAGTTCCTTTTTTAAATCTTGTATTTAGGGGCCAGTGGGGGAGCACAATGATTTTAAGGGGGGGGTATTTTTCTAGCCCTCAAGGTTAAGGATGATGTTACGAAATGTTACGATATTATTTTGATACCAATCAGTGATTCATGGACCTCCTTCTTGTCTAGTAAGATGATAGGATGTGCCTTGTTTTTTTTTTCCTTCAGGGTTGCTAACCGGCTCACAAAACACCATCAACTTGATTTTGGGGGAATTCTAAGGGATACGGGGGTCACGGGAATGTTCCACATGCCTAACCACAATCCTTTCGACTCCGCGAGGTATATAACAACAACTCTACTCAAAACTCCTGTATCATTATATCAGTCCATAGCTTTAGACATGGTAGATTCCTGTATTGAAATTCGTCATGGACGATCGAGACATTTTTCTACCGCCCAGTATCCTCCATTAGTTAATATCAGAGTAACTTTTTTTTCTCCCAAAGGAATTTTTCTTCCAATCTCCTGGGCTCCAATGCCAAGCCCTGATATGACGGTACATACTGTGACTCTCGTCCCAGGCTCCTCAGAGTATCAAAATGTTGTGAGCAAATTTCAAGCATCCACTGGTGGAATGCACTTCCCGAAAATAGAGCGGGTTCAGAATCCCCATCTTTACAAGCAGTACATGATACGAAAGCAGAAAATGGACAAAGACAATGGAGGAAACAACGAACGGCAGCTGTTCCATGGGACATACGCTGAAAATATACGTGCAATAAACACACAGGGATTCAACAGGAGTTTTTGTGGGGCGCATGGTAAGTTTCAACTTTTGGAAAGGAGTTTGCTTAAATGGGCTGGTTTCTAATTAATACATGCTCCGCCAAGTAAACTTGACCTTGGGTCCCAAAATCTGTCTTAATTGCTTTTGTAATTTTTTCTTTTAACCTTGTTCGTACAGATTTAGGTAAGTGCTGACTCACCAGTACCATTAAACAGACTGAAAGCAGAGTGGTCCAGTCAAATTGTGGTTTAACATCAAACTAGTCAGTAGCAGCGGAATGTTTTTAAACGCCGTTTTATTGTTGGGTGGCTACTTAACAACATACTAAAAATCCGCCCAAAAATCATTTGGTGGAAAGTGAAAAAACTGGGCAAAAAGAGCAATAACAGAAATATAGTACACTGTATATATTTTAGTAGTTTATGGCAAAAATAGCTTCCACTCTCATTTGACGACTGTCAGAATATTTTAACCATCCTGACTTTAACCCTGATTTATTAGATATCGCTATGGTAAAAAGCTATGTAAGTACAATGAAACAGGAATATATCTCATATTGGCAAAACACCCTTCAACATTCTCAAAAACTTGAATTTATAGATATTTTAAAACCGATCATACCACCTCTGATTACTTAGACTTAACAAAGAGGAACAGCTGGGAAAAGGGCTTTAGTGAAACTATACGAATAAGCAACCACAAACTAATGATAGAAATGGCAAGACAAAATCAAACTACGAAGGATAATAGGCATTGCTCTTTTTGTGGATCCAATCTAACAGAAGACGAAGTTCACTTTCTTTTTCACTCTCCTACAGACTCTATGATTGGGGATAACTTTTAAAGAATAAAGTCAAGACTCTGATTCCAAATATTACCCAGTAGTTATCAATGAGGGGAACTGACGAACTCCTCTAATTACTTAGCTTTCTGCTTGTTTTGATGTTCGTGACAAAGTATTATCAAAGTAACGTAATTGCCCTGTGATGTAATTTTGATTCTTAAAAATAGCTTTTGCAAATAAAGTTCGTTGCTGTTGTTGTTGTCGCTAGAATGGCTCGTATGGCTGTTATACATGCCATCAAACTGTTCACCAACAGTCATCTACTAAATTTGCATCCATGCTGCAGGATTCGTGAGACGAAATGGGTGCAACCGACGATGGCTTGCCTTCGTATCAGTGCAAACTGTTTAACCTATATTCCAACTTTCTGTAATTGAGTTTTGTGAAGTAGTTATGTTCAAACCTTGAACACAATCATGATCGAAAACTGGGATTCTGTGTTTTCTTCCGACACGCGTAACCTCCTTTCAAATATTCTGCTTAGGACTACTTCCATTTGATTTTAACTATAAAGATGGTAACGCTCCGCGCTTGGACGATTCCGTTGTAAGGAAAATCCTGCCAGAAAACCAGGTGCACTGATTGTTCTTTTTATTATCATTATTATTTTGGAATTCTTCTTGTAGCGAGTCTCAGATTAACTTTAATGTATTTGTGTGTTAAGTTGTAGTTTCTCGACATCCCTACATTTCATGGAAAGATGAATTGATAAATTAAGGCTCTATGGTCTCAGAACTTTTATATTCCCTTCTTGCATTTCTTTCATGAGAACTGCCCTGAACTGCCTATTGCAACCCATTGCACAGTTTCTATCGCCAATCGGCAAATGAAGACCTCTTTTTCTATAACGATCATGGGATCCTATACGTCTGAAAATTATAATCGCAGTGGTCAATGAAGGCGCGAAAGTACTGGACATATGTACGACACCAAAGGCCTGACTAAGCTTCTGGCTCACCTCTTTTAGCGGAATCTATGTTTCTCTTCAGATGAGGGTTGCGTAACACTTCAAGTCACTGCATGTTAACCGTCGGCTACGTTGCGTGAGGAGTTTGCATCACTCCACAGTATCTTGCAAGATATTTGTATATGCGCATTGTTTCGGCTTCCCAGAGTTAATCTTTACCTTAATAGACTGCTTTCCTATATATTACAGCGGGGACAGAGCCCCATACTCATAGAAGTATGGTCAACCACTTTTCGTTTCGTTGTCACGTCATTGACCGAGCGTACGTACACGTCTACAGATTGTACGGGTGGGGTAGGGTAGACTATCAAAAGGAAGGGAGGGGTGTCTCAGGCGTGTCGTGGCAAGTCCACATCTTTTATATTAGACATTCACAATATAGTCAATTGACAGCTATCAAGCCAGGATAGCCACTGACCAGTATCCCCTGACCATATCGCGGGCTCATGTGTCAACTCATCGAGGCGACGTGATTTATTTGGAAGCTGTCCGCTGACCAGTTAATTGTTTTACTAGATAGATCGCAATCAATGTTCAATCTCATACTTTCTAGCTAGTTTGAGAGTACAGGAAAACTGATACACATATTGGACATCAACGTTGTGATCAATTGACAGCTGTCAAAACAGCGTATCCGCTGACCAGTATCAACTGATCGTATCGCGGGCTCAGGTGTCGACCCATCGAGGTCAAGTATTTTTTGAAGTTATCCGCTGACAAGGTACAGTTTTCAAATGATCGCAGGCTCAAGTTTATATAAAATTTATATGAAATATGTTGTGTTTATGTGCCGCACAATTAAAATTTTGATTTTAAACTGACCTCGGAAGCGAAAATTCAGCCAGCTGCTACGGGCAGGGAAGACAATTGCTTTTGACTTTTCTCACCATGTTCACGCGTTGGTCACACTCTACGTCCAATTTTTTTACTCTGATTGGTCAAAATTTGACAGGCGCGTTCGTGCGGAAAATTTATGCAGCATCTTGAATCTTGTTTACTTTGACAGCTGAAGCTGACCGAGTTTTGTGTCAACTTGTGATGTTTTTAAGTGTCTTTTTCCACTGGATGTACAAAATGAAATTCAGCTGCTATCAGGAGTCTTCTTTTATTTATGGCTAATTTGTTTATTGGGTATTTGGTTGAGAACTACGTCTGGCATCGATTTCGTTTTCACCTTGCTTGATGCGTAAGAGGGTTGCGATACTAGCCTTACTTGATACCTTTCAGGAGCTGCATCTCCAGTGGTAAGCCTAATAATTATTGTATTTGATGTTTGTTTTCTTATTTCTAATTTAATGAAGTCGCGCGTAGCTTATGCGGTTATTTTGTTTACGCACGTTTGTAAGATTTAATTGAGACAATGATCTGACCGAGTATCAGGTTTGTTATAAGCTACCCAGTGCTTAGTGAATAAGTGAATTTATGATGGCTGTGTGAACAAGGGCCGCACAGTTATCTCATTAATTTTAACTTTCAAACTGTTAGTTAAGTGATTCACACTTTTTGATCTGCATCAGATACGATGACAGAGTGAGCAAGGACCATACACCCCTCACATTCATTCAAACTTTATACATTTCTGTTGGTTGCACTGATCCATCTCAGTAAGCAGGGCTTTGTAAACAGTCTTACCATTCTATTTCTATATGTTAACCTCCACTGAACTAAACTGGTGGGACTAAGCTGTAAGTGACAGTGACAGCGAATGCCGTATACAATGTCCTATTACTATGAACGCACGTGAGCCATTATGGCGCTAGTTGACTGACTATTGTTGTAAGGTGTACACGGTTGGATGATTATAATACATGTATATTCATCTCAGCTCTCGCACATTGACATTTTTTATTTTTAATGTGGCATCTTTCTTACCTTTAACCCCCAGAGGTTTTGTGTGACTGCATTGGTTGGGGGATACGTTCCCAATTTTTCTCATGTGGTTTTTCGGGTTTTCGTATCAGGCGGTGCACACCTTTTTTCATTGTACATTTTGATTTGTAGGTACCAGTAGTTTCTGTTGGCGGTCGTCTTGCTTTGGCCTCGGGTGGGGCGGCCCTTTCACTCGTTCCTTGCTGGGCTGCGGCGGGAGTGCCTTCACCTTTACTGGGATAATGTTCTTGTGTATCTGGTTTCCCAGCTTTATAAGCTTTAATTTAATAACGGCCACTCCCGTGGCTAAAATATCCCATAATGGGTTTGTGATTATTTTGTGTCACAGCAAACAGAGCTCGCCCAAAGCGAGACTCCGCCAACATCAATAACTTTCGTAATATGCAAAGGAACATGAAGCACAAAAAGCCTTTAGACATTTTCTCACAGCAAATAGAGAGAAAACGTTCCAAAGAATACTTAGTTATATTCCTGGCTGTAAAAGAAACCTTTGATCGATTTTCTTGCCTGGAGTTCGTCTTTGAAAAAAGCAAACACCGGGAAGCTAGCCGGCTTAAAACATGAACTTAAGCTTTAAGCTCGAAGACTAGGGATTTTTAGAGACACTTTAATACTTGTCTTCCTGAATGAAAATTGTTGTCTCTGTATATGTTTCACCGAATTGTAATTCTTTTACTGATTGTTAGTGGTATCTCTTGTAATTTTAATAGCTGTGCCGATTGTTTTCAGTCGTTCAGTGAACAACGCTTCCAGGAGTACTCAAAATGCCGCGCGTTAAACCATTTTATAATAAAAAATAAACATAAATTCTTTATTATGATGGAGCGTAACTATGTTAATGTTCATTCAAACACTCGCCACAGCTCGCACTGCAAAAGTGAAAACCTGCTGGCCGTATAGGTGATTTTGGAAATTTAGCTAAAGGCCACGCGTTCTTCGATCGTCCTGAATATTGAATGAAAGAAATTTGTATTGCAAAATTGTGAAACACTGCATTCTGTCCGAGGTCTGTATGATAAAAACAGTGCCTCGAAGTACTGTTTCACCTCAGATGCGATGTATAAATGATATAAAAGGTTGGTTTACACGCACCCAGATTTGTTGGCAAGATTTTGTAAAGTAAACTTGTCGAACGCAAAAAATTTGGCCGGATTTTTTTTCCAGACTCTTAATAAATGTGATCGAAGATGATTGCCAGTTTTTGGGTGTACTTAAGAGGCTATCAACTCGATGTAAGATTTTTTTCACTCTTGGGCTGTTTGCAAATTATTTTTCTCTAAAATCACGTAGCCTTTCCCTGAAAAGTCTCATGAATGTGTTCTAAAGTTAACTGAATTG